CATCACTGGTTCAGAAGCATCCCAAAGGATGTGCAAATTGGGTGGATAGCAGACAGGAGGAGCATTACATTTCTTCTCATCCTTGGAGATGCTTTTCCCAAAGGCTACAAACTTTGACAAGTGTCAAGGATTGGCCCCAGAACATGCCAGGCCTGTTTTCCCCAGCAATTCTTCCTGCTGTGCTCTTGAAAACCCCATCGAAGGATCTGTCACCGAGACAATGCCTTAAGACCTGCTCTTCCCAGGGAAAGATTTGCATGCCATAGCCCCAGGCAAATGAAGAGATTGTGTCAGGAGACACACCTCTTCCCTGAGTCCTAACACTACAGTTACTAAACCACTGAACAAAGTCCAGGCAGTAGGAAAAAGTAAAAGTTCAGGGGAAAGGATGGCTCCGTTAGCTCGTAGCGTATTGGTGACCGGTTCCAATCGGGGAATCGGACTTGAACTGATCCAACAACTGGTGAAGATGGCTGAGCCTCCAGAACATATCTTTGCAACTTGCCGGACCCCAACTGGATCTCCAGGGAAGGTTTGTAGAAAGTTATCGTGATTGAACAGCAGGGAGAAGATTTCCTGCTGCGCTCCAAGCAGCTTCGTTAGGTAGCTTCTCTATTGTCTGTAGTTACCTTAATATTGCTGGAGGAGTAAAGCTACAGAAGTTAGCAGAACCTACAGACAAACTTTTCACTCCAAAGAAGTAAGGTATAAAGCTTAATTTAAAAAAAAAGAAAAGAAAAGAAAACTTCTTAAAAATCCAGAGAAGAAAGAAACAAGGCATTTACCTAGCTTTTAATCTAGAGCAGTACTATTTTTAGGAGCCACCTGACAGAGATAATTCTGCAAGGTGCATTCATCTACAGCACGTGTGGGAAGTGCTGTCTTGCTGGCAGTTACTGTGGAACAGACACCTGAAGAGATGGAAATAGCAAAACAATTAACCAAACTACAGCTCTAAAATGGATTACTTTTTGGTGACTCAGACGGGGCAATGTTGCACAGGAAATAAGATCAGATCCAAAACTTGGGCAGAATAAAAAAATTGTTCACTGGCTATTGGAAGACAACATAATTTCACTGTCATTATTTTTGAAGCATTGCTTTTGGTGTGTTTGCTATCTTGAGATGGTGGGTTGCAATGAGCAAATGTGATCTAGGGAGCTCTAGGCCCACAGAAACAGGGAATCCCATCCAGCTGTCAGCCACACCTTACCTAGAAGGAAGACATGACCCAGAAAGCAAAATTAGAAGCTTTGCCTGTCTTGACTTGTTTTAAAATCACTGACATGAGATACAGAACAGGACAAGAAAGAGAAAATCTAGATAAAACTTTTTTTTTGCACAACTCTAATAGTTATCCAGAATGAATTATTTTCAGAAATAAAGTTCCGCTTTAAACTTTTTAATACTTTTTGCTGAACAAAGAAAAGAAAAAGAAATGAACTGGCGATTTATGGATTTGATGGCTACAAAGGATAGTTTATGAAAAGAAGGAAATTGCGATGTAATCTTTTTAGAAGGTAAAATAAAAGTGTACGTATAGCTGCTGTTAAGATCAGATGCCACTTCTTATGTTTTGCATTTTCTTTTCAACTTCTTTTACTTTATTTCTTTTTGACTTTCTCATTCTTTTCCCTGTTCCTCTTTATCTTCAGTTCAAAATTTATTTTTTTGCTGAAAACCCTTTTCGTGAAAATTATTTTTTAAAAAAATACAGTCCTATTTAAGTAAAAGAGATCAAAGAACAATTAGAATGGCTTGAGAGAAAGTTCCATAGGACCCAAGGCAGTGCTGGGATTCACATTTTTTTACTACTGGTTTGGTGGGCATGGCAGGGAAAGGATACTGTAAAATCTCCAGTCAAAGGTGATATTTGCCGTTCTCCAAACTACTCAAAATTTTCGCTGCTGGTTCTCCAGAACTGGTTAGAACCTGCTGAATACCCCTCACATCCCAGACATAAACTGTTTCAACTCCTTCCCTCAAAACAACGCTATAGAGCCCTGCACACCAGAATAACTAGACACAAGGAGAGTTTTTCCCCGAAAGCTATCACTCTGCTAAACAAATAATTCCCTCAACACTGTTCAACTATTTACAAAGTGTGCACTACTATTACTGTTAATCTTCTCATCACTCCTTATCACCCATCCCCTCCCACCTGTGATTGTAGGACTGTAACTTTGTTGCTTGCATCCTTACGATTTATATTGACTGTTTCCTAGTATGATTTGATTGTTGATTGTACCCTATGACTATCATTAAGTGTTGTACGTTGTGATTCTTGATTCTTAACGAATGTATCTTTTCTTTTATGTACACTGAGAGTATTTACACCAAGACAAATTCCTTGTGTGTCCAATCACACTTGGCCAATAAAAGTATTCTATTCTATTCTATTCTATTCTATTCTATTCTATTCTATTCTATTCTATTCTAATACCACATCTGACCCAAAGTTAGAAAGCAAATGTTTTCCATCGCTCCTTGGATCTTCTTCTCTTGTCTTGACTTCTTCTTTTTAATTCCAGATCTTGAATGATCTCGCTAGCAAGCATTCCAACATTCACATCATCCAACTGGGTATGAGAGCTTCCTGGCTTTTATTTTTCTGTTACAATTTTAAAATCCATTGGGGAATCTGCATGGACTATGGACAGTTTGACCATGCCGTATGTGTATTTTAGCTTTTAAATGTTTGTATCTCAATAAAGGTAATCTTTGCAAGCCTAAAATTTCCGTTGCTAATCAAGATAGTTGTTGTCAGTTTTGCCCCATTCTATGACCATTCTTAACATGGTTGTTGAGGGAATAACTGCAGTTGTTAAGTGGGTAACACGGTTGTTAAGTGAATCTGGTTTTCCCATTGACTGCTTGTCAGAAGTCTGCAGAAATTGAACACATGACCCCAGGACATGACAACTGTCATAACTATGAGTCAGTTGGCAAGCATCTGAATGTTGATCAAGTGACCATGTGGATGCGATAATGATCATAAGTGTGAAAAATGGTCCTAAGTTACTTTTTTCGGTGCCGTTGTAACTTTGAATGGCCACTAAACAAATGGCTGTAAGTTGAGGACCGCCTGTACAAAATGTCATGTAGGTACCAGCTAGGGCAACTGAAATTTGGTTCCTTCCCAATAGCTGACCCACAATCCACTAGGCCCCACATCCGCTTTTGGCTTCTCTGATAAGGATCTCATTTTTTTCATATGTCCCTGGAAGAGGTGGAGGATCAATCCAGTGTGAAGGCAGCTGCTTCGGCGGTTGAGTTGCTTCTACATGGTAAAGGCTTAAACCTGCTGATCAATAATGCCGGTGTGAACTCCTATGCCACTCTGGAAACTGTGGAGCAGCAAGAGATGCTGTCTGCTTTCAACACCAATGTGGTAGGGCCCATCCTTGTGGTTAAGGTAAGAGAATCATTGACTTGTTCTCTCATTCTCAAACAAGAGAATGACAATTTGATCTCATGTATTACAAAACATGGTAGACTAAACCAACAGGGGAGAACCTATGGCCCTCTAAGAGGTGTTGGACCACAGCTCCCAATATTTATTACCACTGACCACCATGCAGGTGGTTGGAGTTATATAGAATAGAGTAGAGTAGAGTAGAGTAGAGTAGAGTAGAGTAGAGTAGAGTAGAAGAGAAGAGAAGAGAAGAGAAGAGAAGAGAAGAGAAGAGAAGAGAAGAGAAGAGAAGAGAAGAAAAGAGAAGAGAAGAGAAGTGTGATTGGACACATGAGGAATTTGTCTTTGGTGCATATGCTCTCAGTGTACATAAAAGAAAAGATACATTTGTCAAGAGTCAAGAATCATCAGGTACAACACTTAATGATAATCATAGAGTACAATAAGCAATCAATCATACTAGGAAACAGTCAATATAAATCGTAAGGATACAAGTGACAAAGTTACAGACATACAGTCACAAGTGGGAGTGGATGGGCAATAAAGAGTGATGAGAAGGTTAATAGTGATAGTAGTGCAGACTTTGTAAATAGTTGGACAGTGTTGAGGGAGTGATGGCTTTCGGGAAAAAATTGTCCTTGTCTCTAGTTGTTCTGGTGTGCAGTGCTTTATAGCGTCATTTTGAGGGTAGGAGTTGGGACAGTTTATGTCCAGGATATGAGGGGTCTGTAAATATTCTCACAGCCATTGTGTAGTATACAGGTCCTTGATGGAAGGCAGGTTGGTAGTAATTGTTTTTTTCTGAAATCCTAATTACTCTCTGAAGTCTGTGTCTGTCTGGTTGGATTGCAGAACCAAACCGGACAGTTATAGAGGTGCAGATGACAGACTCAATAATTCCTCTGTAGAACTGGATCAGCAGCTCCTTGGGCAGTTGGAGCTTTGTGATTTGACACAAACAGAACATTCTTTGTTGGGCTTTTTTAGCAATGCATGATGGATTACTGATTCACATCCTATCATAAATCCCACCTATCATGTCCTATTTATTTTGTTTATTATTTAGCATATGGCAAATACATGGACTTACCAGGCATTGGGCTGGTCTAAGCTCTTGATGGACATTTGGACACAGACACACTGAGGGGTATTGTATGCTACAGTAAGGTCGATGAACACAGCTGTGGTTTTTATGCCTTGCTGGAAACCAGCCTCAATAGGTCCTATTAGCCCCTATCTGTCTTGTATTTGTTGCCATGTATTTAGAGAGCCAGGAGTTCTGCAAAGATGTCTGGCTGCCAACTGTCATTAACTGCCAATGCTTCAATGTAGTCTGGCTGCCAGTTGTTGCTAATCATTTGATTCACACTTCTGTGCTAGGCAGGGCGCACCACGAGGAGGCGAACTAGCATCACACCCCAACATGTTCTACAATATTATGAATGAATGAATGAATGAATGAATGAATGAATGAATGAATTAATTAATTAATTCTTTATTGGCCAAGTGTGATTAGACACAGAAGGAATTTGTCTTGGTGCATGTGCTTGCAGTGTACATAACAAGAAAAGATACATTCGTCAAGAATCAGAAGGTAAAACATTTAATTATAGTCATAGGGTACAATAAGCAATCAAATCATAGTAGCAAACAGTTAATATAAATCATAAGGATGCAAGCAACAAGGTTACAGTCATACAGTCACAAGTGGGAGGGGATGGGTGATGAGGGATGAGAAGATTAATAGTAATAGTAATGCATGCTTAGTAAATAGTTGGACAGTGTTGAGGAAATTATTTTATTTGGCAGAGTGATGGCGTTCGGGGAAAAACTGTCCTTGTGTCTAGTTGTTCTGGTGTGCAGTGCTCTATAGTGTTATTTTGAGGGTAGGAGTTGGAACAGTTTATGTCCAGGATGTGAGGGGTCTGTAAATATTTTCACAGCCCTCTTTTTGACTCGTGCAGTATACAGGTCCTTGGTGGTTTATGATCTATGACCATGCTGTTTGTGTGTATGCTGAGAGCTTATGCCCCAGAGATAAATTCCTTGCGTGCAATGACACTCAGCCAATAAAGAATTCCATCCCATCTATTGTAAGGTGTTATTAACATGTAGAAGCTTCCGAGTTAAAACTGAAGTGGGTTCAGTGATCACAGAAAGTGGTAAAGATTGTTGGGATGTTGAATTGGATGTGAGACGGAAGTGTGACGACTAAGGAGACGTGAAAGAGAGTAATGAAGGAATAGGTCTGCTGAGACAAAGAAAAGGGGAAGCAAAGATAGCATCAGTCAACAAAAACAAGGGGTGATATGTTGGAGACAAGTACATGATTCTGATACCAGCCATTCAGTTTCTGGGTCATCATGGCCTCATTTCACAACTTAATGTATCTTGTTTCCCTCAGGAATTTCTACCTCTGCTGAAGAAAGCAGCTCGAGAGGCAGCTATAGAGGAGATGAGCTGCCAGAGGGCAGCCATCATAAATATAACCTCCAAGTTGGCCTCCATTGAAAGGGGCTTTGAAGTCATGAAGGCACCGATGTACCCTTATCGTGCAAGCAAGGTAGGTTTTCCTTGGAGGGTCTGATTATTCCTCTCATTCAGAATTAGCTGGTGAGACAGCAGAACATATCTATGTGTCCAGTCTATCAGAT